TAGTTATAGTTATAGTTATAGTTATAGTTATAGTTATAGTTATAGTTGTTGTTGTTGTTGTTGTTGTTGTTGTTGTTGTTATTGTTAGAATGGAGATTTTGCACTATCCTTCCCCTGCCATGCCTACCAAGCCATACCCACCAAGCCACGCTATGCCCAGCAAGCCACGCCCACAGAACTGGTAGTAAAAAAATTTGAATCCCACTGGTGGGAAGGAGATCTCTGAACTTTTAGTCTCAATGCTTCTGAAGATCAATAGGTTGGAGAAATCTAGAAAATCATTTCTTCATGAGAACTGTACTTACTATTAACTGCATGCTTTTTGCAAAAATGCCATTTTTTTTCATGGAATTTGTGATGAATTGCCTGACCATTGTTTTTCTTTTCTAGATCAAATAATAATAGCATTTTCGGTTTCTATGGTCATTGGACTTGTCATTGGAAGCATAATCTGGGCCCTTTTGACTTGCCTGTCTGGCCGTAGAGCCAGTGCCCACATTTCCCAGTGGAGCACCTCATCATCCAGCCGACGTACCAGAGCTGCTCATAGCTGTGTGGCCAGCAGGCCCGGATTCTATCGCAACAGCAGCTGTGAGCGCCGAAGCAATCTCAGCTTAGCCAGCCTCACTTTCCAAAGGCAAGCATCTTTAGACCAGAATAATTCTTTCCCGAGGAAATCAAGTTTTCGGGCCTCCACATTTCACCCTTTTCTCCAATGCCCTCCACTTCCTGTGGAAATGGAGAGCCAGTTGATTACTCTGGTCCCTACCAGTACAACAACCACACTTACCGGAACTTCCACCAACAGCTTCACTCATCCAGAATTCACCTGGTCAAATAACAGTCTTCTTGTCTGCCATTCGACACAAATTCCGCCTCCTGCCTATGACTCTATCATAAAGGCTTTTCCAGATTCTTGACTTCAATTCTTGAATCTCAATTCTATGATTTTCTCTGGGCTGTTGAAGATACCCGGGAAGCTTACTATGACCAAAAAGAACTACAGTGCTGGGACAGGAGGGATCTAAGTGAAACCTGAGCAGATGGTGTGGTATCTGGATGTTCCTCAACTTTGAAGATCTTTCTCACGATTGTAGCTATGTTTGCAGTATTAATGCGTTTTTATAATTAACTTTGCTTATTAAGCATTGTCTTTCATTTAAGACAATACAGAATGGCTTGCAGTACAGACACAAAGCATAAACACAATGGTAAATATCCTGCTATTAATTAGAACATAGCGGTGTTTTCTCTTTTAAAATGGGATTTAAATTCAAAGGCTTTTCCCTGGGAATATGAATTTCCAGATTTGATTTTTCCTGTGACATGTATATCAGTTACCAATACAGTATATGAATGCAGACTCTTCACTAATTCTTCAGCAGAAATCTAGGTGACTTCATGTATTACTTTTGCAGAACCAAAAGGGTTTTGATTTATGTCATTCAGACCCGCAAGCTGAACATAAGAAATATGAAAGAAACTATAATAGGGTCACTTCCGTGTTTGAGTCCTTGATTTATTCATACCTGAGAAGGCAAACTCATCTTCACATCTTAAACTGCTTTGCCCATGATTGAGAAACAGTGAGTCTGTATGTTGATATTAGGGTATAGCTATCAAACTACAAACTTCGTTCTTTTGTGAGTGTAAACTGATCTTGCAAACTGACAATGCTCTTTGTTAATGTTAGAGTCCTTTATGCATTATACCTATAAAAATGGGAGCCTTTTATTTTCCAGTGAACTGAATGGTATCCTCAAGGAGAACGTTGGGGCTTTTGTTGATCATGAAGAGTAATTTAAAGTTACAGTTGATATTATTCCACATCTAACTTCTAATTTTCATAAACAGCTTATGTGAAGGCATTTTTCCTTACTATAATTCAGCTCAAATACTGGCAGAAATCTCCCTTTATGTGTATAGTCAAGCTGAAGTCCTAAGGCTGATGCATAAATTCTTTATTTCATAACAATTTGTGAAATAATTGTCTATTGGTATATGTTTAAAACATTGTAGAATCTGTTATTTCATGAGTGCTGTGGAAATGATGCAATTTAAATAAATTTCTGACTCTTGATCTGTGTTATAAGTTGATTGTTTATTATATATCAGGGGTCTCCAACCTTGGCCATTTTAAGATTTGTGGACATCAACTCCCAGAATTCCTCAGCCAGCAAAGCTTTGCTGGCTGAGGAATTCTGGGAGTTGAAGTCCACAAGTCTTAAAGTGGCCAAGGTTGGAGACCCTTGTTCTACGTTATATTTGAAAGGAATTCATTTTGGGAAAGGGAAGAGATAGGTATTACATTTTGTTAGATACCCAAACAGTTACAATTCTTTCCCTAACACTGCATTGACACTATGTCTTGCCCTGTGGTGTTCTTTTTAGAATGCTTGAGGCAAGTAATTTCCTTAGTGATATTATTGTAATATTCCACCTTGCAGTGCCATTTGCAATACATTTCTTTGAAAGCTCTTGATTGGCTATCTTTTTTGGCAAGAAGCTACCAAAGGATAGAAAGACTTCTGACTTGATCTGTATTCAAATCCTTTTCTGTTCCTAACTTTCTGTGCTTATTTTGTTTATTTTGGCTTACTTCATTTCCAAAATAGAAGAAAAGTGATTTCCCCAATGGTACGTTCCCATTGTTCTTAAAAATCATGGTACTTTCTCACTGTGCCTAATGATACTTTCTCATTATGCTTAAATAACAGGACACGAAATTACGGTAGGTTTTGTCCAGTATATTTATTCTTGACAAGCATAACTTACAATTTTATCTCAATCTTATGACTGTTTCAACATAGTTCTGACGATCCTCTTTCTTTTCCTTTCACAAGGTACTTTGTTTTTTGCATGCATTACTAGTACAGAAGCCCTATGGATGATATAACACAATTTCCAAGAAAGGGTTGCTACACAAAGCTGTTTGTTGTATAGGCAGAGTCATTGACACACCAACAGATTTGAGTCCTTCTCAAGAAAAGTCACAGGATTTCTGACACCCAGAAGAAGAAGACTGGCTACTCTGCCAGCATGGCATTTCTGAAAGCATTGCTGTGTTCCTGACAAATTTATCTTGCATACCTATTCCAAAAAATTCAGGGCACCATCATCCATCGTGTGACCAATTCCACATGCAAAAGTTCTAGAACTCCAGACAACTGGGCTGGAGGTCTAATGTGATCATCGCATAAAAGGAGAAGAGTTTTAATATTTCAGTTAATATTTTCAAGCTTTGTTGGCACTTAAGAAGTGAGGGTAAAGAGAAATTGTTTCAATCATATACAGTGGTACTTCAGTACTTATCATTAATAGGTTCTGGGAGACAAAAACAATGAGTATCAAACTTTTTTTTTTTTGTATAAGCAATAATATAGTGAATCAAAAGGCAGCTGACACCAACAAGTTCTGGCTTGTGTGTTGAGCACCAAACAAAAGATGAATACTGGGACAAAATTTTCGTATCAAAATGCAATGAATACCAAATGCGATGAGTTTCAAAGCAGTTAAGTACCAAGTATCACTGCACTATTGAAAGTTTTTCTTTTGTTAAACGTTTTCAGGTGGAAAAGTGGGCAGTTATTCTTTAAATATTTGTATACAACACTTCTAGGCAGAAAATCTATTCTGTATATCAGGAATCCCCAAACTTGGCAACTTTAAAATTTGTGGACTTCAACTCCCAGAATTCCTCAGCCAGTTTGGAGACCTCTGGAGTATATGATATAGAAAAACACATGCAATGAATTGGAGGCTAGATCATCTGTATTAACTAAAATTATTGCAGAAGTCAATAGACCAATCTGTTGCCATGTTACTTAATTAATGGCAGCCTAGCAAAAGATCCTAGATTTTCAGGTAGTCCTCAACGTATGACCACAATTGAGCCAAAAATTTCCTTTACTGAGACAGTTGTTAAGTGAGTTTTGCCCCTTTTTACAACCTTTCTTTCCACAGCTGTTAAGTTAGTAATTTGGTTATAAAGTGAATCTGGTTCACTCATTGACTTGGCTTGTCAGCAAATCACAAAAGATGATCCCATGTCCCCAGGACATTGCAGCCATCATAAATCTGAGCCAGCTGAAAAGCACCTGAATTTTGATCATGTAACCATTGGGATGCTGCAATAGTCATAAGTGCAAAACATGGTCATAAGTCCTTTGTTCAATGACATTGAAATGTAAAATGGCCACTAAATGAAAAGTTGTAAATCAAGGACCAGCGGTAATAGGTTAGAAAATGAAAAAAAAACAACTATCAGCATGTGGTTGGTTGCTTGAAAGGCAGGAGGAAGAGCCACTACCAAGGCAACAGTCAGATAAGTGGAACTTGAGCCAGGACCAACACAAGAAAAAATATTGTGAGAAAAATGTCACAGACAAGCTGCTCTTTTATTCACACAGTGACTTGCAAGATTCTGCTACTAGAGGTGTTATAGGATAAGGTTGACTCAGCCTTCCATCCTTCTGAGGTGGGTAAAATGAGGACCCAAATTATTGGGGGCAATATGCTGACTCTGTAAATTGCTTAGAGAGGGCTGTAAAGCACTGTAAAGCAGTATACACAGTAAGTCTAAGTGCTATTGCTATAAGTAGTTCTGACCTACATGGCCTTGGTTTCTTAGGCTGAACTGTGGTTTAGCCAGTGTGGTTTAGTGGTTGAGACACCTGATTAGAAAACAAGAAACCATGAGATCAAGTCTCTAGATCTACCTTAGCCATGAAAGCTAGCTGGACGACTTTGGGCCAGTCATTCTTTCAGGATTGCTTTTCTGGAGATATTTAGAAGGGGAAAGTGTGTAGAATTTCTTGTTACACCTAGTTGTAGTTTTAAATTTTCTCAGGTCCTAAACAAAAAGAAAAGTATTTCTCTTGGGTAACTGATCACAAATATCAGTTTAATATAGCAAAACTGAATTACAATAAATTACAATTCTGGTATAATATTTTTTTGCAGAATGTTACATATCATTGATAGAGAAGACATCAAGTAGATGATTTGAACTTGGATAAAATTAGATTTTTAAAGTTCACCAGAAAATCATTACCTGTCTTTGACTCATCTCAAGTTACTATTTTTTTTAAAGTAAAATGAAAACTGTATTTACTGGAGCTACCAGAGTTATGTACCAGCCTGTGCCAGATTTTCTCCTAGAAATACTTCAGAAGATTAGAAATGCTAGTGATATGATTCAGCTTCTACAGCAATTAATGAAAATAGAGATAGGAAGTATCTCTCTGGCAAAGCCCAAAGGGTAAAAGTTAATCAGCTCATATATGGGAAAGGGAGAGAGGAAAAGGGAGAGAACATTAAAAGTGATTCAAAGGCTCTATATCCTCTCCTTCACATAATATAAAATAAATACTTCTTTGTGAAATATGAGTTTGAATTTCACATACCACTAAAATGAGGAGTGTCTCTACTTGTTTCAGACAATGGTAACATGGCCCTTGGAATGTGGGTCTTATCACAAATAGACAATCCACAAAGCTGCTGCTTCTGTCCCTTCTTCTTTATCCCATATCCCAGGAGAGGAGGAGGTGATCTGACTGCAGGCCACCAGGTAATGTAGTAAGAGTGTCCTATCAAATTCTGTACCTGTCAATAGTGGTGTCCCCCAAGGCAGTGTTCTAGGACCAACTCTCTTCATATTATACATAAATGACCTCTGTGATCATATTAAGAGCAACTGCGTTCTTTTCGCTGATGATGTAAAGCTGTTCAATACCACAGACAATACTGCTGCCCTTCAAAAAGATCTTGACTATGTATCAGAATGGTCAAACAAATGGCAACTTCAAATCTCAACAAATAAATGCTCTGTCTTACATATTGGCAAAAAAAAAATCAGAAAATAAAATACAAGCTGAATAGTCAAGATCTTGTTGATGATCCAAGCTCTGTAAAGGACCTTGGAATACTTATCTCTAATGATCTAAGTGCTAGAGCCCACTGCAACTACATAGCCAAAAAGGCATTAAGAGTTATTAACCTAATCCTACGTAGCTTTTTCTCTGGTAATATCACACTACTAACTAGAGCATACAAAACATTTGCTAGACCAATACTCAAATACAGCTCATCGGTCTGGAACCCACATTACATATCTGATATTAGCACAGTTGAGAAAGTCCAGAAATATTTCACAAGAAGAGTTCTCCACTCCTCTACTCGTTGTAGAATACCTTATGCCACCAGACTTGAAATTCTAGAACTAGAAAACCTTGAATTATGCCGTCTTCGGTCTGATTTAAGTATGATATATAAAATCATACATTGCAATGTCCTACCTGTCAATGAATACTTCAGCTTCAACCATAACAATACAAGAGCACACAATAGATACAAAGTCAAGGTTAACCGCACCAAACTTGATTGCAGGAAATACAACTTCAGCAACAGAGTGGTCAATGTCTGGAATACTCTACCCGACTCTGTAGTTTCTTCCCTAAACCCCAAAAACTTTAACCTTAGACTGTCTACTATTGACCTTTCCTAAGAGGTCTCTAGGGGGCGTGCAGAAGCGCACCAACGTGCCTACCGTCCCTGTCCTATTGTTTCTTTTATTTTTCTTATATGTACCCATTTCATGTATTCATAACTATGTATACACTTATACTTATTATCTTGTAAACAATTGACAAATCAAATAAATAAATAAAAATAAAGAAAGAAACCGATAGGGAGCAGAGGAACTGAGGCAAGGGACGTATAATTAAAATAAGCAATTATTTTCCAAGACAGATACTCTGTAGGCTTCAGGGAGTATAGCAGACCACAATAATGCTCCACTCTCTTATTTGAGAATCAACCCTTTTGTGTTCAACCTGGGGGCTTCCTTTGAAGTAGAATAGACTTTTGTGCAACTTGCTTGCCAGAGATTTACCACTGCAGCTTAACTGCACTTTTATTTCATTGCTCACCTTTAGCCTGCCTTTCATGAAACATCACATTTGCATATAAATGATTTAGTATGTATATGAGCCCAGATATCTGAATAGCAAAAAAACCCTGTTCTATAAATATCTTATATAGTTCATAGTGCAAATACATTCCTGGCTA